TATTTCGATTACCTTGCCATACGCCTATACGAGGATGTGTCACTCTAACCCACACCCAAGTACTATGTAGTACAGGGGATGAGTTAGAAACTTGACCCCATACCCCATGCTAGCCGCAAACAATGTTTTCCAATTGTGTTAAATAAACTTTTTGCATTTCACAAGTTTTTATTAGCTTAACAACTTTGATACTGTTCTAATACTTCGAAAACTTGTATTTTAGGAAAAAATCTCGTACATCTCAACGGGTCATCGCGAAACGTTGCACAACTATCACAATTTGGAACTACAACTTGGGAGAAACTCGTCCGCTACAACTTATAAACGACGATCAAATGCAGCGGAACAACTAGAAGGGACAGAACACTCGGAGCTATATAGGCAAGATAAAACGTGAACACACGGACTCAAGCAAAAAATGCACAAAAAACAAACAGCATCACAAAACAAGCAAACAAAAGACACACATGGGTGCGTAGTAAGGAAAGATGCAATAGAAACACATTTAAAAGTTGAAAGCCTTACTGTCAAAAATCATTATGTCAAGTGCGTAATGCTAATGTGAATGATGAGGTGATTATGATATCACTATCAAGTGATATGCTGAAATGAAGATCGGAAACCCTGAACCACTCGGAAAAATTAAACTGGGTTTGTCGTAGGTGTGGTCGGAGGAAACTGAGGTGCTGCTGATTCCATCCTAAAAGTACCAATGGATAATACAAATTATCCGCTATCCAACAAAATAGGCAGGGACCCTGTTCCTATCAAGTTAGTGCTGATTCAAAAATGAGAAAACGTCGAAATTACAAACTGAGGCATTTCCGGAAGTCCCAAAGCTATCTTCCTTAGAAAATTTGCAACAGAGAAAAAAGTACGAGTCTGTTGTTCGTGACCATTAAGTAACCTTGTTTACTCCAAAGGCTCAAAACTTCGAAATAAAGCTACTTACTTACTATACTTATTCAGTTACTACAACTCGCCCTTTTATTTCTTGACTTGACAACGGCGGAATGTAAATAATCGAACACTCAACTCTAACCGTTGAATTAAAGAAATACTTGAAAAGGATGAAACTCTAAAGTTAAACTTCAGAGTAATGCAAGCCTATCTAGCTAATTGCCTTAGTCTGAGTTTCGAAGAAGATTAAACTAATGTACACATCAAAAGCGATTACAAAACTTTCCGCATTGATGTTTAACCATCTCCTAGATTGAAACTGCAAGTAAAAACTAATTCAACTGACCTCGATGTTTTATCACCGTCTATTAATACGGTAGTTAGTCCAAGTACTTGACTGTTAGGTGCTGCTCGAAATAGAAGCACGCCAAGACGAAGACAAATGAAAGCATCAGCGGCACATGTTAACTGAAAAATTGAGCGTGACTTTCGACCACTAACAGGAGTAGTGCATGCCATGTTCTGTTCCGTATTTACCGAGAGTGAACACAAAGCAAAAAAATGTCTAAATCCCAGTTCTTCCGACGATTTCAAAATCATTTCTTTCACTGTGGGTAAAACACGTTATGTTGTAAAGTTACTAAGAACATTTTCTTTCTCATTGGAGAAGT